TCGCAGATTTCAATCTCGGCGCAGTTTCTCAAGTTCGAACTATATCCAAATACGCATCGTCGTCCAGTGCCGTTATAACGAAACGTCGCCTGCTGAAACGTTGAGAGGCGATAGGGGATTTACAATACACTTGAATTTTGTATTTGTAATTGCGAAGAAAGCCCAAGAGAGAAACCGCAGAGAAAAGAAGAAGAAGAGCGATGACTAAATTTCGACTCGCTGGGTACAAAGAGTTCATAAGGACTTTTCCGTGCCTGAGAGGCTCACGATGACAAGGTGTCATCATGTGTTCCAGCCCCAGCACATCCTCATTCTGCATCGAGTAGAGAGCTCTCGATACCGGGTAATTCCCAAATAGCGTCGACACAATCCGCTAGGCAGAATTAAAGGAAGACAAAACAAAAATATTGCTCTGAGTCGCATGGTCAAGAACCCAAATCGCGAACTCCGCCTCAATCGAAAGAACCTATCAGTTTTATTCTTCTTCGAGAGCAACCATGTTATGCATCAAGAAGAGAGAATTCAGTCTAATCAGAAGAATAGACAAATCTCACTGAAGTCGATTGACTCGAAAGACCCACGATATTAATAGGCCTGGATCTCTTTTGTGACGCACAGCGTCAAATCAGTCAGAGAATGTTCTCAGGATACAGGACTTGATCCACCTGAGACATGCGAAATTATTGTATTCTGGACTCAATTATACCACATGTATGGAGTGGGGAGAATGCGATATTGGTGAATGTTTCGTGATATTCAATTATCACCTCACAAACCGAATTCCCTGGAAACTCCTGAGAGCCAAAGTCGCAAGTGAAATGACTGACGTCATTCAGCTTGGCGGCCTACGAGCAGATAAAACAAGTTGCATTGTGTCATGCAAATCGTTTCTGAGCTAATCTATACAGCCAGACTTTACCGCCGCGGGCCGTCCTTCTCTTAGAAAGTTGCTCGCGAAGACGGGTTGAGAGGTCAAATGAGATCGGACGGATGATGCACGGAAACCGTATACTTGAAGGCAGCATGGATTCAATCCTTTGCGCTCCTGATCAAGCAGTGTGCAAGCATTCAAATAAGTCTAACTCAATTTGTGCCCGGCGCGCTGAAAAACTCGACTTTCCATCCGTCATACACAGGACCATGAAACAGCAAAATGCTTGAAATACCTATGCATATAAATTGCTTAAAATGCATTGTTTCCGAAGGAATTGGTTCACGTACCAGTAATGATTGTTCCAACAAGAATTCACGAAGGGGATATTTCTGTCGACACAGAGTCGTGTAGAGCTACAAAGCTCAGCCAGGAGATGGAACTTCATTCCACTCGGCATCTCCCCATCAGGGACCGGAGCAAGCTACATGAATATTCTGTAGCTTACCGATACCTTTTTCCGAACCCAGAGATACTGTTTAGAACTTCTGTTTAGGTTCTGTTTAGAACAATTTAGGTTTCTGGACCGGACAAGAACAGCTCTTCTTCCAGCAAGAAATTAAGCACGGATTTCTCAATCCCTAATCGCAATGTCTGAGTCTCTTATTCGAAACGAAATTCGTTTCTAAGTGTATCTGTCCATTTGGCTCTATATGAGCAAGACTCTCGAAACGGTTACAAGACCTGGGAGGTGAGCGCTCTCGAAGAGCCTGCTCACGATACGGACGACGAGCCTCAGCATTCAGCATCCATGTCTGGCCAGAACAGTCCAGCAACATCAATAGCTTGTTGAAAAACGAAGCCGATCTCTACGCTGGACGAACAAGGCAAATTGTATGAACCCGTTCCTGGATTTTCGTTTCCGAGGACGAACGGCCAGAGTAGGCAGCCGAACAGTATCGTCTTCAATGAGTATCGGACAGGCAACACCACCAGCAGCACCGGCGTCAGCATCATCCTCCGCTGGAGGGGGACCCCAGCCATCACTGCTGGACGAAGAGGGTGGACGATAGACCATGTCTCTTTCTCTCGGGGGAAACAAGTGCCCACCGAAAAAGAAAAACTGGAGCTTATATATGTATTCGGGGTACAACACTCAGAGTCCCAAACACTTCTTCGAACATTCCGCAGTAAGGGAGAAAATGTTGGAAACTTGCCCTCTATAGGACAATGACTTTCCATTATTTACTGTCTAGAATCTTCTCGAAGTCTATGATAAGGATAATTGCACCAACTTGGTTGCCAAGACTCTGATTATTTATGTTTACTGTCACAACATCGTTAACTCTGTACCATCATATTTTCTGGAACTAATTTCCTCTGTACGAGCCTATGGAGCTCTGATGGTATAAAAGCACCTCCGAAATAAACCTCAGACACAGATTCTTCTGTCACCGCACGATACCCTGCGTCCTCATTCATGGGTTGAGTTCCTCACTACCCGCCTCCGGTATCCTCCGACAAGTGCCGCTCATCAGGAATCATTTGGACCGAACTGCGTTCACCTCCGACTGGGACAAAACTAGACGGCCAATGTTGTGGGGTCCTGATCAAATCCCCAACACACCATACACAATCGAAAATCCCAAGCCAGGGCTCCGCCCCGAGCTCCTCGCAGGTGTCACAAGTGTAGCCCCAATGGAGGCCGTAATAAAAAAGACTCGACTTTGACTGAAAAATTTCGCTGTGAAGCGTAGACGTAGCGAGCATGTTGGTTAGGGATACGCCCACATTCCGAAGATGTCTCTCGGCCCCGGAACTGTAACATCTCACGCGATCAACGCTAGCTCTCGGAACCTCGCGCACTCAACTCTGTTCCAAATGTCCTCCGGGAATCAGCCGGAATATAAAGATGATGACTTCACACTTGATGGTAATGACTTCAATTTCGGATATTTATTTCGAGTATGAGTCGCCGAGTGAAACTATGATCAGTAGAATCTGATGCGCAACCGACGACGAGGCTGATCTTCGGCCTGACCCTCGGTGAGATTCCATCAGGACCTTTCCGATTCTCGCAATCGAGGGTTTCTCGGCTCATCAGATTCCCTCCCGGAGGAGACTAGAATGCGAAAGGCTTCAGGTGTCGATCGTCCTCCAGAGACCCATGCCAGACGATAGGAAGTACACAGACTTTATATCTATCCAAGTTTTGTATATCTATGCGTTGATTGATTCGCGCTCCGAAAGAAGATGACTTACCACCTATCTTCATCAATTTCTCCCATCAAGTCGAGGGGTGAGATCCCTCGGAATCAGTCGCCTCGAATATACAGCTCCTCATTCCGCTCGGAATAAGAAGCTCCGATCCCAGATGCACCCATGACTTGACGAGCCAATTCCTCGAGAACAGCGGAAAATGCTGCCGGGGAGGTTGCCTCGACAGACTTCCCGTAGATATTTTCATCCCTGCTACCGTTCCCTGGCGGAGATATGCACGCATCCTGATTCCGTCTCACGTGTACTGATTTACAGCAAGCGAAGCCGGCATGATCACCGCAAGAATTCTGATTGGAGAGAATGCTCGGCTACTTTCCGAGATTCCGAGAGCTGTTCTGTGCCCAAGAGACTGCTCGTATGTACAAGGCTGCCCTTCTATCTGCGTATATCCTTCTTCCCTTCCCGGGATCTCTTCCAGTCTTCCGGACCTGGATACCTGATATCCGGCTATACAAGGTGCCCGCTTATGAAAGACTGCTCTTATGTTTCAGACCGCCCTCTCGTTTATTTTAAGACCTCGAAATCTGCTGCCAATCGGAGATTGCTCGTATGCTCGACACTGCTCCCCAACTAGAATATTCACGGTAGGTTTACAATGTATCCTGTACACGAAGTTGATCATCCCTTATATTGAATGCACATTTCCGCACATTTGGCATGAGGGAGCTCCTATTTGGTTAGATGCATCCGGGGATTATCATAGCATTCCTCTGCCACCATTAACTCCCGCTTCCTGAAGTTCAACATGATCTACCCTGAAAAACATCCGTTTCCTCCATGCTCCAGTCATTTGGCTTCAGACTCGGCCCCGATAGCCCTCACTTTCCAAAAGTAGCATATCACATGACTCGAACGACATCTGTCGTGACGTTCAGAGCGTTTATCATCGATTCTCGGATGATGTCTTCCTGGAACTATTCGTTTGAATGTCTGCTGTCTCCCCCACACCTACGCATTCATATCAGCGTCTGGGAGAAATACGAAATCTCTCTCCATCCCGGAATTAGGGCTGAGTCCCCCGGGCTCGTCCTTGAGCGCGATAGTCCGGAACATTCGAATCGCTGACATGTTAGGAGACTCGGAAGGTATCGGACTGTGAGCTCATCGCATGGACGACTCTTAAAAACCTATTTGAACCCTAGGCCATGTGACCATACAGCAATAGCATCGGTCCTTTCAAGTTCTCCGGACGGAGGAACTCATGAGGGACATTAATTTTGAGAGAGATAGATTCTATCAGAAGAGTAAACGCTCATTCTGGTTGAAGAACTTTGAGATGATTACCAGATTTGACAGATTCTATGGACCCAGAGAATACAGAACAAACGTCAGAGGGATTAGAGCCAGAACTCGAATTGGCGGAGTGACCCATCGTGAAACCCCTCCAATACCACCGGAATCCGCCAGTTGAAATTCGTGGTTCCGATTCGCGACTGTATTGACTCCACGAATGGGAAGTAGAGGGTATTCCCCTATATTGGTTTTTGGCCTATGTAAACCCTTTCGGAATCAGAAACAGCTCCGAGATCAATATGATAAGATCATGTCATATCAATAAATAAATTCTTAAATCCTAGCGTTCTACTTAACACTGAATCGACATCAGCTAGTAGGATTCGTCGGGGCTTTCCGTTGCATCAATTCTCGATACGCTATCGTCTTCCCCCGCTGTCTGACTTCCCGCTTATCGGTGCATCGGTTCTGCTTAAACCATCCGGGGGACCATCAGAAAACAACGAGTCGGAACTGTACGACTTCCCCGGGCCTGTATCAAACTTTAGTCCGAGTCGCATCCGATGCATCGATTTACGGGGCTGTCGGGCACCGTGATCAACGCCCGGCGGATACGTCATATGAGCGGAATCGTGCTGCGGAGTGCTAACATGGACAGCGCCGCAATGGTCCACGTCACTGGGACCACGGGCATAGCTCTGCATTTGAGGCTTTGATTCAGCGAGTCGGTCACACCGATCGTGTTGTCGGAGTCGTCCTCGGGGTACGCCTTACATTTATCTAGCGGACACATCTCTTCACAGGCAGGACAGACGATATGGGATGAATGTAGCCAGCCCTCTTTGTCCAAAATGCGCACGTAGATTTTCTGACCTCGGTAGACACACCGCAGAGTGGCGTTCGTGCTCAGAATGATTTCGAGGAGCCCGTTGTCGCACCGATGCTGAAAGAGTTCACCGACCTTAGATAGGCACAACCGGTTCCGCAGGACTCGGGGTTCGGAACCCATTCCTTTGGATCTATTCGATCACTATGGACAATGTAGCGCGACCTCGACATTGAGAAATCATTTTGCGATTTAGAGGAACTGCCCCCGAAAAGCATGACACCGAGGGAGGGAGGTTCACCTGATAGCACGCGGAGCCCCAGTTCTGCCAATGCCGCACGGTCGCGCAATTCGATTCTTTCCATCGATCGGTGTGAAAACATCGCGATTCTTTCCCGTAGGTCTCCAGAGCGAAATTTTTCCCCGGAGAAGGTTGATTAACAGCGAAACTACATTCACTGTTGCGGCCCGAATTCGCCCAAGTAAACTCCTGTAATATACGGAGACCTGTCAGATCCGCAGCCTGTTATTGGACCTAACAGATTCGCGAGATCGACTCCCGAACTCCGAGCACTGGATGTTGGAGCTTTTCACCCACCTGTATGAAGGGACAGTAGTCAGCCAAGGCAACTGAACTGCCGAAACTAGCGGCGTATTCGCCCCCGATTCCGTCAATCTGGTCGAAAAACCGGTAGTCTTCCGGGAGCGGGACAGGATACTGCACAAGATTGCAAAGCGCCACGGCGTTCCGAGTCTCGGTGCAAGTGGTTCGAAGAGGATTCCTCTTGACGGTATCACAGTACGGGAAGATTGGATTGCCCGTTTCCTTGCGCCACTTCATCCACTCGAAGCAGGACATGGTGGTGAAATTACAGCCCAGATTCCGACCCCACAGCAAGTCGTCGTGGCCATTAGTAGTCCAGTACCATCCGCTGTCTTCCATCAGGGCGAATGTCACTTTCGAGTAGACGGGATTCTGCGTATTTGTTCCGGTCATGGCTTCATTCTCGAACACACGTTTCTCCCAATGCGTCAAACGAGTCCCGTCATCTCCCTGATCTTCGAGTTCGGCCCCTGAAACGACGCGAGATATTCAGGAGTAATCTCAGGGCCCCGCCTCCGCTCGCGAGCTTGGGTCGACAAAAATACGTAAACCGTCCCAACATTGCGAGTCCATGACGCTGACTCATCAGATGCATTACATATAAAGAGCGAGAGCTCTCCGAGCTTTCGCTCACCGATTAGATTAGGGCATCCGAAGTGAGTCCTGACCGCCTCAACAACACGGGGAGTGACCACGAAATTGCGTTTCTTCAGAACCATGCCTGTCGTTGTTTTCCATGGCATCTCAACGCTTCGAACGATCCTGTCGCTCCAACGGTGCACCATTAACCTTCAAGATAAATTCAGAAAAATTTCAGATGGGATGTGGAGAATTATCATCCTCCGTGTTTGTAGTCGTCACCGTCGGCGCAGATCATCTAATGATCTGTTTCCGAATGTCTCGTGGAACTAATGGACATTGAACCGATGCAGATGCAGCGTCTCGCAACTAGTTCCACCCGAGGATTCAGTCGAGCGGAAAACGAGAATTTAATCAAAAGTTGTCCTAGCCTGACCGATCGTGGTTTGCAAGCCGTGTCGCTGATGAGGCGCCGCCCGGTCTGCTGTCCTGTAGCTTGGGTGTATCAGCTCTCAGACTTCATTATATAGAATCTCGGTCAAGTTTCGGATCTTCTCGGCGGGGAACAAATTCCCCGGGCGATCGGAGCAACCCTCATACTGCCCAAGAAATCTTCCTCACTCACACCGAGAGTGCGCGAGAACTCGATAATTGCGATATCAGCGACATTCGTTCTCCAATGTTCTCATGGTGACTCCCGGACACTGCCGGACATCCATCCTTTTCTCCCCGGCAACGGAACGAGGGAGAATGTTGGAGGTCGTTGCGGCGTCAGGTCGTCCCATACGGAACATTGAAAATGCCTAGGAACCGATTGGGTCCTTCTGAACTTCGGAAAAAATTTTCTGTTTCACGCTTCCCGCATCTCACCTGTCGCTCTCCACTTCCGATACCACAGAACTATCTCATAGAGGACATGCCCCCACCGACTGTATCAACCCGCTTCGACTCTTCACCAGATGAAAAAGCCTACCTAGTGAGCAATTCGTCTCATGATGCTGGTAAGGTATTTCCGAGAATTGGGACACTCACTCTTCGTCGATGTCCGGACGACCCGTTACATTCGATCTCGGTGTAATGGGATTACCGTCGTCGTCCCGGAAGAAAGCGAATAGGCTGACCGAGAAGCCGAGAGCGTGTAAAACCTGGGAAGATTTACGGATGAGACCCACATGCAGGGAGATTTTGAAGCTTTGAATCTTCTACGCAGATCTCCCGCGGCTATATCTCGCTGCTGTATTGAGACATTACAGCAGGCCATTGAGGATTCCGACCCGAATCCGTACTTTACCTCATGTTTGACGGTGGATAGCAGCGTTCGGACGTGTTGTTCTTCGGGAAGAAGAGTCGATGGACACAAATTTGCATGACCGGCTATAGGACGATCGAATTCAGCCTCCTGCTGGCAATGGACAGCATATGCGATTGTTTCTCCCTGCGAGAATAGAAAGATCGATATTCCTTTATGTTTGGGAAAGTTCCGATTCCGATTCCGGAGCTAGCTCGCCATTAACTTCCAGAATCCAAACATCCACCAAGATGGACTGCGGCTCCTAAAGGTCCTTAACTCAGACTGAGATATCTCCGTGAGGGAACGAAGCAAGAATGGAGGGGGCGAGGGGCAACGCCGCCGTGGGCGATATTCGGCTGCTGGTTCATTTTGTTCCTCGCCAAATGATTCCATTAAATCGCGGCCTATCAATCAGCCCCGCTTTTGCGGCGAGTCTTTTTCTTCGCTGCCCGGCCGAGGTCGTGAGGACGATAAGTCTTGAAAGGATTTATATTGGGGGGTTCCTTGAATGAGCGTTGCGTCGTGGCAAAAAGTTCTTGAGGCTTATCGTGTCGTCTACGACTACCCAAAGCCCTTTCTGCCCTCGAGAGGACAGGGCAGACAAATGATAGCGACATCATAGTCTCGGTGCGAAGTTTTCTTGCGGCTCTCGCGGCGATCCGCTTTCGGTTGAAGGCTCTACACAACTCGCGGCCCTATTCCAACGAGACTTTGAACAGACATGAGCTACAGTCTGGATCGGCGCCGCGGGATCCCGAATTCAGAGGAAAGGTCGCGCGATGTCAGTCAAGGTTTCCGAGTTAGTTCATAACCGAGTGAAGCTAGAACATCAATCAGAAAACGTTGCAGCTGCGTCTACTTCGGGTAAGAACGTCGATCACGCTATGTGAGTTGTGTGGCTTGTCCTATCATCCGCCATTATTTTTTATGCTGCGCTTCCTCCCCGCCTCCGTCTGTCGATGAGGATCTCGGACGGTCGAAAATTCTCGAAATTCCCGGAATTCTCAAACCGTAGCGGGAGATTTCACAAAGCTTCTGATTCGATGATGCTCTGAGGCGGAATCTCGGAGAGCCTGTATATTTGCACTAGAGCCTTCTCATTGTGAAAAAACAGAGATCAGACAATTAGACGGGGGGGGGGGAAGGTTACGAGGCTGGAGCCACGACGATCAAACTCAAAAGCACACCACGTGATATCCTTACCTGGGTACATTTTTCGCCTTCTATAGCGGACACGTATAGAACGAAGTCAGCGTCCGCTACTCCGCCTTCCCGGTCAAACTCCTCCTCATGGGTGTGACAATTCCGTCCATATGAATTGCAAGTTCTACAGGGCTGTAAAATGAACTCTCACGTCAACTCCATGATATGTGGGCTCGATATCAGGAAACTCTAGTGGTACTGAAGGTATGACGCTTCCGGAATTGGTGTACGATCTATCTCGGAACCGATCACGATGGCTCGGGACGTGAATCGAGTGTTTCGGTTGGCCAATCGAGGATATACATTTTAAATATTGGTCGATCGGAAGAGAGACCCCACGCGGTCTACTCGCGTCTTCGCAGATCAGCGGGAAAATTATTCTTGTTCTCCCCGGCTGCTTGGTAAGACAACTGTCCCAATTGAATTCCGAGCGACACCAATATACACTGAATCGACTAACATTTAGGGATATTCATATGATCCTCTCTCCGGCGAGAGATCGAGAGCCGCGAATCTGTCAGGTATTGTCACAGGGGAAATCAATGAGGTATTCTCTGAGAGTGAGGAAAAAGTCGCTGTGACTCCAGCTCTGGAAAGTCATATTCCTTACAGCCTCTCGAACGAGAATTCGAAGTAATTAGCTCGACAGCTGCTTGACGAGTCCGACCTTTGGATACTGAGTACCCCGAAGTCTGACCTTCGGGAAGGAGCGCCATCCGACGAGGAAGCTGAGCTCAAACCTCTTCATTCAAGCAAGCGATCCTAAGTCAACGCCGATCGACCTATCGGAGCCCTATATTAAGTCCTCCTCCGTCCTAAGGAAAATTGAAACGGCTCTCGACGCGCTCGCCCCTCACATCGACATCCCACCTGGGTCTCGAGGATTTATCGTCGAAGAGAGAGGTCGCTTTCAATCCCGAGCTTCCGAACGGGAAGTCAATTTATATTGTGTAGGAATTTCTTCCTGGAAAATTGTACAGTCCACGGATCGACTCACCGCCAGATGTTCTCGGGGTACCGGGACCTCTCCACAAAGACTGACCTCCTCGCATTTGTCACGACAGTATTGATTCTGTTCCCCCGGCAAGAAAAAAACTTTGTCTTCGGGACATCTCCTGGAAGGAAAACATGCTCGGAATGAGTCCGAATGCTGTGACGCATCATTTTCTCGGACAATAATCCGCGACTCTTGCCTCGGATTGATATCTATTTTGTCTGCATTCCTTATTCTAAGAGATAGCTCTTCATGGAAAGCGTCAGAACCCAGAAGGCTTGAATCCTCGGCGATTTTCTGAGTCCAGAGAAAAAATCACCGGGTACGATCCGAAAATGTCTACTTCCTCTGTCTTTGCGACGTACATATATGTAGTATCTACCAGACAGGAACAGAATCTTTTCTGTCACTCTCTCGCATCTTATGTGCGTGATGATTGCAGGCTCGTCGAGGAAAGGGGAGAGTTTGGAGCAATGTAATAATGACGTAAGAATTCCCCCCATAACAGAGTCTGAGCTGACGGGTGGTCAGATACGCGGAGCGGCTTGGAAAAATTCTATCGCAGGACCGCATGTTTGACGTCGTCGATACCGCCGAGACTTCATGCACCGAAGGCGGCTCTAGCGGCGGGCGGCCCTACCTGGAGGGTTCCGTCAGGAACTCCGTAAAGTGAGGATTTTTCGGTCTCATGGCCGAAAAAGAGGCTTCATTTGGAGAATGGAACTCACCGATTCAGTTTTATGGGTGTATTGAGCGGATACCGGGGTCGGAGATTCTGTTGCCAGTAATCGACAGCCGCGGGGAGGATGCTCTTATCGATGAGGTCGAATTGCACTGGAGTCAACCTGGTTGGAGAGGAGAAGGATTTTCTTCAATCGGGAATCGCTCCTCCACACATTGAACCCCGAAACGTACTAATTAATCATTCAATCAATCAATATTTCCTTGAGTTCACGAACGAGCCGAGGAAGTTTCCTTCTCGACGAAGAAGACTGATTGTGCGGGTCGCCACCTGGAGGCCACGGGCCCTTGGCTGCGATTTTTCGCGGAATCCGCGGCCTCGTGCGGCTTCTACTGTATTATGTCTCAATGGATGATTCAGAGGAACTACATGCTGGCAAAAATTAACGGCCCCAGTTATGAGGCTCCGAAATGCATCCCGTCGCGTACATCGTAATTTAGAAACGGCGCGGCGTCGCGCTGCGTTGTCCCTCAGGAAGCCTTTCGAGCATTCCTCCGCGGAGCGCTTGTCTACGTTTCCCGTTAATGATGGACGATACGAATATGCATATCAGCGTCGTGTCCGATCTCCGAGGCTTGCGGACAAGTATGAAACTATGAGCAGGAGACACGGCTGCCATCCTGACTCAACTCGCGAACGTTTTATAGTCGGCAGCTGCTGTGTCATAAACTCTCGCGGAACGTGCTGCCAAAACCGTAGCGTTTCCAAGTACTGATTGCGGGTGGTTTAGCTTCCAGAGGCGAGTCGGTACGAACTGCTTGGAAGCATGGAATATTGTGCTCCACCCAACCGATGGTCAACTCGCCATAAGGGAACACGCGAAACGAGAAAGGGGAGATCACGCGAAGGACCACTCGGAGCAAAAACGAGGATCAGATCGGTGCACCGAGTCACAATTATTACAGTGATCCACCTTGATAGCAGAAATCTCAGAAATCTTGGGTACCTATTCGTCCTTACTGGCTGATGCTTTCGTTGTGATAGAAGTATCGTATCCGGAGCGAGCTGGCCTCTTGACGTCGCACTCGGCGCGGCTTGGCGTCGCCAAGATGGATCGGCGGCAATACGTCATCGAGGGTTGGTCTTCTGTAGGAGCAGAGAGAGCCTCCTCTCGAAGTCGAATCAAGCGGATGTGCGGCTGATGAAATCAACAAGAAAGCTGCCCAAAACGTTGATAAGCCGATGATCGCTGGGGTCATCCTGAAATGAAAAAAATAACGGATCAGAGGCGTGACCGTCATCTGATGGATTTACCATTCGATCGATCTCTTTCCCGATTGCTTCTTGGGATTCGGGAGGGTCCTTTTTTTTCAGACAGATTTGCGGAAGATCGCCGAATGCCTCTGTCAGGGATGCCCCATACGGCTTTGGACTCCCTCGGATGCGACGATTCCCTTGACCGAGCAGGAGAATGCGATCACTATGAGAGATCCGCGAATTTTTCAGAACGACCTTCAGACTTCTGGTGAATGACCGTGCGTTGACATCGCGAAGCCCTCGTATCGGTTGCTCACCCGTCAGCCTTTTCTTGTCTTATTCTACATACAGCGTCAGCAGCGGACGATCGTTAAGTGACAGACGGGCCCGGAAAATATGCTGAGAGATCCGCAGTTCTATACGGTGGATGGAATTTGCTGCACAAACGATATCCCCCGGAACGGGTTCGGGGACGAGCGACGTGGAAGCCGAAGGGCAAGAAGAAAGCCTGTTTCACAAGAAAAGAGTCGTCCGAAGCGTGTGTTGGGTGTTTGTGTCGGTGTTATGAGGCAAGAGACGAATGAAACAATAAAAACAGAAGCCTGAGCCAACGCCCATACGAGCTCCAAGCGACGCACACAGAGAGACCTCAGGCGTCTTCGATAGAGTTGCGATGCCGCAAAGAAAACAACAGCGAGCGAATAAATGTCGTATAGGACTCTTTTTCGAACTCTTTATTCGGATTCATAGTCCGAGAATATTCGCCGATGATTCGGAGAGCCTTGTAGACGAGAATTCGGTTTTACATCTTCTCGGAGAGCATCGAATAAGAAATGACAGTTGTGATACTTCATTTGAAATTTTTCCCACAAAGATCGCGGTAAGGCTCACACAGTATTTTACTCGAGCGTCGGCGCCTTCATGGGAAGAAGGTTTCGAAACAGTGTGTTCGACCCCTCCGTTTCCGTCCGGGAGTATTGTTACAGGATTAGCCGACGGTTGAGAGTTCGAAATGATTGACGTTCACTTCGGCGGTGCAGACCAGGCGATCCCCGGCTTCGCTCTCGCAAGAGCTGAACCACTGACATGGGAATCTCGGATAATCAGTGTCTGCTAAGCTGAGCTCTCCTGAGCCTGAGCCGACGATTCCCATGAAGGAATTCCACTGAGGCTTAGAGTGTCCCGAGTGTGACCGCAAGGCAGGAAGCGATTGTCGAAAAAACGTGGTCTACAGAGTCGACAAGCCTTCATGTGCCTTCTGACAACTGTCATTTCTTATTCGATGCTTTCCTCGGGATAGGTCACTGCGACGGATCACCGCCGAAATGGGAAGCCCGCGGCTGGGATCTTCTGCGTGGTTCAGTCTTCCTCCGGGAGGCACCGAGTTCGTGCAGTGACCCGAGCGGATGTAGGCTCTCCCTGAGTGCAGTCGAGCAGAGCGTTTCTTCGGTCGTCCATTCCTCGTGCATGCTTCCCCGGAGCACGTATGGGGAGTCGAACTCTTCTATTCATTTGGCCAAGGAGATCAACACGAACAACAATATGCACATATATTAGCTCGAAGTCGAAATACTTCCGTCGCCGTCCGAGTCTCAAAACTCCCATTCAGACGATGCATGTGCTCGGTGGCGAACCGGAGCTTCAATCAATTCGGTCTCGTTGAGAGAATTGGGGATCGCATTTGAAGGGCTTCAGCACTTCTCTGACGATGTGGAATCCCAGAGTTTCCGAACAATCGGGCGATTCAAGAAGCTGGCAGACTGGGCTCCATGCTCTGGGGTGCGAAAATATGGGTTCAGGGGGATGATACGCCGAGTCCGTACCGAGAACAGTCCGTCGGATTGCCGCCACGGATCCGTGTTCCAGCTGAGGACTAGGAGGACAAATCGCCCATTCGGCGCTCCAACAGGAAATGACCCGCAGGAGCAGGTACAACAAGCGATGCGCCTCATCACATCATTATCCGCTTAGCGGATCCTGGGAGGGGCGGGAAGTACCTAATGCAGCCCAACCTCGTATGGAAAGTTTTCGAAGAGCTGTATCCCGAGCTCATGTCGCCGAAGCCGATCGGGGACTCCAACATCGATTCGACTCACGTTGTATCTAATCGAATTATAACGTCTCGATTCACTCGGCAATGCACCTCGAATAAATCATCGATCTCCCCCAAGCTCCGACGATAACTCCCACGGAACCAATGATTCTCAAACTTCTCTGAGCTTCAGAATCTCCCTGTTGAGGGACAAAAATGAGAGCTGCCGGATAATTGAACAGAAATGATCTTCAAATGAGGCTGTGGATGGCAGGCATCTTCTCGGTGGCTATTCTTTACCTCGTGAACTAGATAGAAGCATTCCGATCGCTCACGAGAGGCAACGCTCTGGAATCTAGCTACCTCGTATTTCATGAGGTAAACTCTCATGAAAGGTTTGAAGCTCTGGTAAACATCGGTTGTGGCACCGAAGGGAAGATTAAACAATGAATCTCAGCGAATAGACCCCGTTTTCCGCGTTCACTTGAGATCGTCATTCGCGAGAGCAACGAGTGAATTCTTGAGTACCCTGCACTCGATTATCTGAAACACTGACCCACATATGTGATAGAATCAGCCGAATCTCCGCTCCACGAGTAATCCGATGATGGGAGCCGCCTGATCGACCGCGACGGCGCGCAGCCCGAGAATGCTCTCCGGGGAGAAGCTACCGGAGTGTAATTCAGTATTCTGGCTTTCTATCCTGTTTCTGATTGCGTCGATCTCCGGATCGCGTCGTTTCGATCGATGGTCGAAATTCAGCCAGAGGTTGAATAATCACGACCCGATGGATGGACGGACGGACCGACCGACCATCAGTAAAAGCGACGTTCGAGAAATTCGAGCTCATCGCTTCGTCTGGCTCCTTTCGATCTACTCGATCGAACCTCGTCGTCCGCTGAAATCAAGCTCGACAGGGATCCATTCCCATCACGACGTTGATTCGGAGCAGTGAGCAAGCATGTTCCATATAATGAAGCTCCTCTTCATAGAAATCATGATGTGCATTCACCTTATGAACGGCCTCGGGTCGGTCAGAATCACGCATCGTTGATCAGCAGTGTAGATTTCACATGAGGTGCATCGGCGGCACAACGCGAGTGAGCCCATGTATCATACTTGCATTTCAATGTGTATCATAAGCGGCATATCCGCTGAGTGCCCCATCCCGTTGAGTCCAGACGGGAACGACGATATGTAACCCGCTCAGGTCGCAGTCCGCTGCATTAAGGTCGAGAATAATCCTGTAGATGGATATTTTTTGCCTCCGTCTCCGACAGCATACTCGCGCGGTTGTTTATGATGACATTCCCGCCGGCAGCAAACGTCAGTCTCCCCCGATCGGATCCTCGGTCAGACTATTATTTCCCAATTCGGAATACAATCATAATACAATCATGCAATCAACCTTCAAGGGTGAAGACTATGGAGGTAGGTGTTGATATTCGATATATCATGAGTCATGATATTCGATAATCTAGGCATACGCTTAGTCACTCGTCAGGGAGTATGACTGGGGAATCAGAACCTGCCTGAATCGTAACCTGAGGCCTTGTGCGTGAACACCGCCAGGGGACATCGGTCTGGTTTGCCATTTCATTAGCCGTTCAGCGGCCGTACGAGGGCATCCCTCTTGGTAAGCGACATAAAGCCGCCGAGATAATTCGATGATAATTCAACAATTCCATGTTACATAGGGAAGCGTGATCCACCGAGAACTGGGAGCTCCAACCTATGGGTGCCTCGTGAGCTCATCGCTCCTCTGTGGCGATCTACGTGGCGCCGCCGGTGACCGAGGGAATCTCGCGGTCGTCCCTTGTAATGTTGTCCATATTGTGGTTCACGTCGCCGTCTTCGTCAGACACCCAGCTCGTAATAAGCAGCTTACGAGCCAGCAAGTTATTCCCCGGCGTTGATTGAGACAACGGCTGATTCGGCGGGCGGCTCGGAGCAACGCAGACATTTCCGCACGCATGGCTTTACCACAGCCCGGCTTCTCAATCAAAACGAGCTCTATCTCAGCTAGGTTATCTCTCTTATCTTCCGAAATTAAGGTTTACGGCGAGAAACATGGTCGAAGAAATTCGAAGACACCCGCATGAAAACCAGACAGTAATCAAGTTCGCCCGATGCAGAGCAAAAACGCTCATCAAGGGATCGTTCCGCCGAGTGACGAACATTCAAGACCGGAAAAGAGAGCCGTACATGGAACTGCTTGAAAAAAACGATGATCGCACATGTCGGCTTCCTTGCTATGGGCTAAGGATTACGTGGGGCGATTCTGCCGACACTTCCCGATGGATCATGGCGGGAACTCTTTCAACTATGTACTTGTTCATTTTGTTTGTTATCCGTTACCGAGCGCTGAGGATCATGGCGGTCGCGGATACATCGCTCGTCTCGTGGGGCAATCGCTTATGAGCTCGATATCCGATGTTGGCGAAAGCCCTGCGAGGGCTACCCACCCTCGATCCCTGTAGTCAGCGGCTGCGCCTCCCGGAGATACTCTTTCTCTTGGATCGCCCTTCTTCTTTTAAGGGTCGTCCGGCTGGAGCCCGGTAGTGGAAAATCTATTGATCCATATTGGATGCCGCGGAGAACTCCGATTTTCGGTCGGATATGCAGGTCATCGTCCGGACTCTGAGCCGCCCGGGAACTATCCCTGAGAGACTTGATAATGAGCGGAGGCAGGATCTGAGCTCATGATCGCAGCCCGCGGAACGATATGATCTGAGCGAAGAGCAGCCTCGGGTAATTTAGAAGCGATGTACCGCGGTTCTCGCTTACCTAGAAATTCCCTCCCACGGAGAGACCGGACTTATCGTTTTCAGAATAGATGAGGCTTTGGTAGCTGAAACACTAGCGGAGGCTCTCTCCCACGTTCGGTCGGAAAGCTCCCACAGAAGAGGGCTGTGAAACAGTGAAGTCCTAGGGTTGTTATTTTTTCGAAAAACTGCTCTGCATTCGTGT